CTTAGGGTACTGCTTCGAAAAGATGGTGCCACCACCAGCCGACAGTGGTGGAATGCTGAGCTACATTCCTTTCAAACATGAAGCTCTGACGTCTGCGTCACAGCGGATGAACAGTTTCAGCGGAAGCGCAAGTTTGCGCCACACAACCGGGCTGGCCCACGCAAACAGCTCCCGATCCCCGGCATACGCCCTAGGCATCCGCAGTGAAACAAGGGGGGGGTGAACAAGACTGTACTTAGAAGTGGTCTCGAAGATCTTACGGTGTTACGGTGGAAACGCTGAATAGCTCTTCTTACTTCACGAACTTCAGCAGGGTAGTGGAAACGTCTAGACGGGTAGTCTTAAGTTTCTTGGACTCCTTCAGGAGAAGGCGATCGGCGATCGAAACGTAGGCCAATAAAGCTGGTTCATTAGCCTCGTGTGAAGTTGAAGCGAAGCACCTTACAAATGACACAGTGCGGTGGTTTATGGCTAGTCATAACGACGATGTCGTCGCAGTCAGTTGGGGCAGGTCAGGAGGGGGTAAGCCCGCCTTTGGCCGCTTTCCTCGATCGATTTCCATGATCGATTAGAGGTCGGTTACGGAAGAAAAGAACCAGTGGTGAAAACGCCGCGGCTGGACCATCCTTCTTGAGACCTCCCCGACTGATTGCCATCATGTCAGCTGTAACACTGTTGTGAGGTCTGAGAAGGCATGAAACGAGCCAATCGACGGCGTTTTCAACCACTGTTTTCGTCTTGAAGCGATCACTAATGGTAGAAAATGCAGCCGGGTGAGCTCATTCTCCGCCTCCTGACCCCGCCATGACCGATTGCGAAGTCAGCTGTCGTTAGCTGAAGTCACAGCTGCCAAATTCAGTTATCGAGTGTAGCAGCATCGAGCGCTCAAGTAGTGGGAATGGGGCTGGCACCGCGCCAGAATTCACGCGCCGCTGACACGCCCCGACTGAATTCAGTGATATCCCCTGTACATGGCTATTCTGGCCGATTCTTCTGAAGGTATCCTTGTAAGAATTCATAGTACACGATAAGTGAAAGGTAGAGGGTTCAGTGGATTTCATAATTGCTCCTTTATCAAAGTTTTCCTACTTACGAAGCATACGACCCTCTTCTCATCCCACCTGCATCCTGCCAAATCCTCCCAACTCCCTATCAACCTCCCGAAAAATTTCTCTGGTTCCTCCTCAGAAACTGCTGTTGAGCAGGGAAGGGAAGCAAAAAAACACCTTAATCGACTAAATTTATTTGTTTATTTTTCTATGGCATTTATCACTGTAAGTTTTCTTTGAGTTCAGAAAAAACTCTCGAGAAAAACGCCAATACGATACGGCTGTGACTGAATATCTACCCCTTCCAGCAAGTTATTCCATGTCGGGCTTTGGAGGGATGAGGCTGAACTTACAATTTGCACGTGCCTCTAACAGATCTAGCAGTTCTGTCGAACTTCACCAGCCACTGCTGAGAAAATTCTCATCCTTTCGAATTGTTGCCTGTTGACATTAATTGACCTCATTTTCCAAATCGGCAACAAAAAAAAGCTGTCATGAAAATGAATGAAATGTATGAAAACAACCTTGAAAACTAGTAATGAACGAGTGAACGCTGAACTCATTTAAGGACGTTGCCAACACACACGAAAAAGAACGCAAGCGCAAACACTCGAAGGGGTTAAGGATTTGAAAACTCTCTCCAAAATATAAAGTTCAACGTGTGTTCGAACGAGTTCGGTGACAGCTGGTGGTTTTTCCGCGAAGACGGGAAAGGAAGGCGATGCAGTCCCCCCCCCATCGCAAAAAATGTGTCCGAACAACACCTAGCCCTTTGCTCTTCTGTCCATATACAAACAAAGAAGCAGTCAAGTGTCTGCGTCAGGTCAAATCATTCCGTTATGCCAAATGTTTGCATAACCGGCGCTTTAACCGGAAAACCCGTTCTGGTACGACGCACCTCGTTCCTATCTGTTTGCCGATCTTACAACTTTTAAAAGAGCTCTTAGCAGTTGAGGCAGAAGGGTACAGACTGTACGAACTATCTGCAATGGTAGTTTCGCTGTGCAGTCCACTAGAAGGCGGGCGGGGGACATAACGCGAGCTGGACGCGGAGAAGGTCAACAATCAAAAATTCTCTCATGGTAAACCTATGACCCGGTCTCTTCTTTCCACGAGCTCTCAAATACGCAGGTATGTACTACATCAACGTAGTCGTATGTGTAATTGTGACGTCAAGGTGAGGTGTTAAACGAGTGAAACCACGGATAAAGTGTAAAAGGTAGTGGTGAGAAGGAGTTCTCGGACGGGTTTGATAAGCGGGTAGATCGAACTTTATCCAGGTTAACCGTACCTTGGTATAACCGTTTTATTCTGTCGTATAAACTGATTTTCTGAAGACAATACTACATAATTGGCTGACAGAATATTGCATTGCAGGCACATGGTTAAACGTTTAACCCCGAGGGGCACTTTTCGGCATGGGAATAAATCTTCCAATGGCTCACTTTCCTATTTTACGCACGTTTTATAGCCGTTTTAGCCGGCAGCCGCGAAGAACTACTACTAGGCCCACTATGTCATTTTCCGTGGTAGTCTATGGAATATATGCACCACACCCACGCCATTGTTTCTGGAAGAAAGGATTTCTTGTACGTCGTAGTCAGTAAGGGCGGCAGTTCCGCAGGGGTGGAATAAGCCTTCCGGGATGTCTTTCTCTTCCAATATTGATCCGTTAGTGATCGATCAAGACGAACCAGTGGTGAAAAACATCATTGGTGAGCTCCTTCGTTCCCTCTTGAAGCCGCCCTGACCGATAGCAGACTAAGTATTTAGGATGGAGACGGGGTCGATCCGGGAAAAAATGTGGGAGGGGTCTAATTTTGCAAATATATCCCCCTGCAGTGCCGGAACGTACCTGATGACGCTGCTCATCAGGCGTTCAACTCTTTTACGCGACCCTTTTATTGCCTATAAAGGGGTGGAGCTAAACCCTTTTCGTCGAGTACTCCCAAATAAAAAAAATTTGAATACCAAAATTATAGTGCTGCCACGCTAGGGTCTCCTTATGGATGGTTTCCTTATCCATTCGAAAACTTTGTCTGCAATTATAATTCGTGGGCTTTGCGGTCCAAATATGAAACGGTAGATGCTCTGTGATCTATTGGTGAAGAAAAAAGCGGACAAAACCGTCACAGGCACACTGAATAAGGTCCCAGGATTGAACAAGTGTTCCGCTACTCGTTCGCTGCTCTTCGGTGCCAACTGAGCCAAAGTTGCGCTGATCACCCGCGTCAATTTCGAATAAATCTTTGCTAGAATGGGAGAACTTGAGGTGCACTCTGCATATCTGACAAGAATTGTCTGTGTGGAACTTATCTTCCGTGATCCGGACGAGTTGTCCTCTGAGGAAGATGCGTAGCATGGCGCGTTGTGACACATCAGTAAAAACCGCCCATGTTGTGAGATGTGAGGTTGGATAACTCGTCCGGATCACTAAACCGCTGCATTTTTGTAGTTTTCGGCACATGTGAACTATAACTAGAAAGAATACCTTGGCTTAATTATTCGGACGAGTTGTCCCATCTGGAAGATGAGTCGCATGACGTGTTGTGAGGCGTTGATGATAAGTGATGGGAACTATCGACAAACATCGCTCATGTTGTAAGACGATAATATCACTCGTCCGGATCACTGAATCGCTGCATTTTCGTGACTGTCGGTACATGTAAAGCACAGGCCGAGAGATTTTCTTGAAGTTAATGATTTGGACGAGTTGTCTCATCTAAAAGACGGATCAAATGGGGTATTTGTGACTCGTTCATGATAATGTGATGGCACTGAACGACAAGCACCTCTTATATGATGAGTGCTAGGTTGGATAACTCGTCCAAACACTGAATCGACAGGTTCCCATAAGTGTTGGTACATGTAAAGAATAAATTGGGAGAAGTTCTTCAGTTTGGTCTACGGACAACTAAAACTCGATCCCTTCAATGATGTCAACTTCCTCTTTTTCTCAGCGCTCTCTCACCTGCATGTGTTTTTGGGATCACCTTGACCTTTCACCTTCCAACTTTCCAACTTTTCGAGCAAAATACTTGGCTCATCCACCCCGACGTCCTCTCCCTTTGGAGCACTCATCTCCTGGCTCGCAACATTTCTTTGTACCTCACAATGCCCTAACAGCTGCAGTTCTTTGTTCCTCAGCGCTCTGGCCTTTATCAGCAGGACCCCCACCAAAGCTTTTAGTTGTAGCATAACCCCTTAGTTTAGTGCTTTGGACGAGTTGTCCCATCTGCAGATCGCGCTACCTCCAAGTATTCTCAGTCCATGGATCTTCTGGCTTCGACTGTAAGTTCAAGCTAAGCTGCTCCCTCTGAGTTCAAACTTATCCGAGTTGGCTTGAATGTGGAACGTCCCTATTTTGAGCAGGTTTCTGAAAAAATTGTAGTAGTAGAATTGGAAAGGAACGATGTAACCCAGAGAACGAAATGGTCGTAACCAGTGGAATTACCCCTGCACTAAACTTTTGTTCTTATGGGTCACAGGTGAATCCAGTTCCTTAAGAGTTATAAAGACTTTTTTCATCGTACGGAGAATTCCAGCGCAGTGTGTCAGAGCTGAAAATTGTAATTTTATGATCTAAAAGGACGCATTTTACCGAGTTTCGTATGTGGCCGCGGGCGGCGGTCGCGATGCGGCGGTTCCACTTCCGCTAATGAAATGGGCTGCCTGTCACAGTTTTTTATCAGAGTGCACGTACATTTTCACGTAACGGGCGACAGTAGACGAGGCGGCGGCCAACACTTAGTCGACCTTAATTGCTCAACAGGTGGATGGCGGTTTTTTTTCCTCCTACCGCCGACATCATAAGAACCGAAGTAGTTTGATATTTTTCGAAAACAGGAAAACGACCTCGACGATGTCGTAATGACGAGTATAAAAGTACCAGTACAAGAGTCAGACCACCACGTTGACCAACACCAACCAACTTGACGTCGACGAAGCGTCATGCTCACCGACAAGAACATCGTCGCTGTGGCCTCACTGGCCTCAATTCTAGCCATCGGTGCTTGCCTTGTCGTGATTCCATCGCTCTACAATGAAATTAACGACGTCCACAATATGGTACGAGATTTTCGCTAATATAGTTCCCTTGACCTTTTGAAGGACCTACTGTCCTATTTTCCCTATTTAGGTACTCGATTCGGTGGCCGTATTTCGTGTTGAGACCGACTCGGCTTGGGCAGAGATGATGGACGTACAAATCACTGTCACCCCGCCATCGAAACCTCGCCCGAATCCGTTCCAATCGATCTTCCGTCAGAAGAAACAAGCCCTGCCGCCATGGTGTATCTGCGAGCCCCAGAGGATCACATGTCCACCAGGACCACCTGGCCCACCTGGACAGCCCGGACAGCCTGGTGAGTTTTTTCAAGACTCTCTTTACCACGATGGATACAAGAATTGCATGATTTCAGGCACCCCTGGACCACCTGGACAGCCAGGACGAGACGACATGACTGTCTATGCTCCTATTCACTGCCCAACTCCGAGCCCAGCTTGCATCAGATGCCCGCCAGGACCACAAGGCCCTCCAGGACCCGACGGACCTCCAGGACATCCAGGAATGGACGGCAGGCCGGGAAACCCTGGACCTCGTGGAGAGAACGGCAAACCCGGGCCACAAGGTCCACCGGGTGAGCAGGGACCCCCTGGGCATCCAGGAATGGATGGACGACCTGGACAGCCCGGTCAGGACGGACGCAAAGGCGTTGGCCGGCAAGGAATGCCTGGAATGCCTGGAGCACGTGGAGAGCCTGGGAAACCTGGTGCTCGAGGAAACGATGGGGCACCAGGTACACCTGGGCATCAGGGACCGCCCGGTATACCGGGATCACCAGGAAATAAGGGCATGGACGGTCAGCCAGGAATGCCAGGAATGCTTGGACGCCCTGGGCGAGATTCAACCTATTGTCCTTGTCCACGTCGCAGTGTGGCTCTCACACAGAAGAAGAAAAAGGCTTGAAGTGTACCATTTCAACGGCACGAACCCGAATTAGTAGTGTTTCATTGCATGCAGGACTGCAATGGTTCAATAAAGAATTTCATCGGGATTGTTCGAAATAACATAAAAAATATTACTACCGTACAACCAAAAAGCCACTGAATATTTATCATCAAATAAAATAAAAGGATAAAGGATAAAGTCTTCGCCGTTGATCAATCCCTTTGTGGGATGCGGCACGCATTCTACTTCCATTCAGAATCGTAGTGGCTTATTGAATGCGATGTGGCCTATACAATGACTTGCGGTGGCCAGCCGAAGTCAGTGTTTTATCCTCCCAGACGAATCTGGTACCAATTTACCGTCCCCGGAGGGTAGAAGGCTTGGTTGGCCTGGGCGGAGTCGACCCAAGATTTGAACCCAGGACCGCGCGAGTGGTAAGCGCGGTCCTGGATTAAATAATAACAGCAGTAAAATT